GCTACCAGTGTCTTCAGTAAATGCTTTAGAACCTTTGCTGGTAAAAGTATTAAGGGATCTTTTGCTTTTACTAACTCTGAGCAGGACTTCTCCCTGTGTCTTTTCTGCCCTGATCTGTGGGCAATGGTGCCAAATGGCAGTATCATGTCTGTCTCTAGGCCTCTTCTAGTTTGTGGTCACAGTGAGGAGCTGAGAAGTCTCAGGGCCAAAAGAGAGGATGGGGAAAAGAACGTCTAGGTCTTCAAGAGCCTTTTTCATTTCCCATCTAGGTCATGATTGTTGCAGTGGTGCTGATCATGATGTTGTTGAGAAGAAGGCTGGTCTGTTACTGGTGTTAGTGGATATGCAGTACTTAGCTGAGGCTCTTAGCCCCAAACTGGATGCAGAACTAAGTAACTAGGCAAAATAGCTGAGGCTTATTTTCTCTCTCCTGTCTAGCTCTCAGACTGAATGATCAACAGACTGAGCAGTTGTGGAGAACATAAGATTCCTCCAGGCAGAAGAGGTGCTGTCTGTGGCTCAGACATGAGTATAAGGATATCACACAAGGGATGTGGTTGGAAGCCCAGAAGGCAAGGGTCTCTGGGCAAGGCCTGACAGAAAAAAAAAAAGGGAGCGGGGGGTTAGTTTGCACCACATCAAGTGGGTGAATGCACCATGAAAATTGGATGAGGCTACCAATCATCTGTGCCATCATCAGAAAGGGGGTGGGTTTGGCTGCAGTGACGAGGCACTGAACTGCAGTTCAATCAATGGAATCCCCAAAAGAAGGAGAGTAAAAAGAACTCTCATATATGCCTCCTGGGTTGGTAAAGGTGTTGGGAAAGTAGAAAAAAAAATACAGGCCTGTGTGCATCTAAGGTTCAAATCAGTAGGATGTATAAAGCTCTGTCTACATCCAGGAAGTTTAGAAAAACCAAGGAGCAGGAAACATGCTTGATCCTGTTTACCTTTAGTACAGGGGCGTAAGAGCTGAGGACAGAACCAACTCTACTGCTACTACCAAGGCAAAAAAGTTTCTGATCAAAGTGTAATGAAAGACAGACATCCTTGTGAGAGAATGCATATGGAGACATTACTTTAAGGAGAGCCTAGACTTAGTCCATTAGTCAATAGGGTTGTTCGTTGTAGCTGTGTTGGTCTAAGGACATAGGCAGACAAGGTCATTTGCTTAAATGTGATATTTTTTTATTAGACCAACTAAATAGTTAGAAAAATTGTTCTTTGCAAGCTTTCAGGCACAAGCACCCTTCCTTCAGGCATAAGGAGAGTCTGCTAGTGTTATGTGTTCTCCATATTAGAAGAGAAGCCAATATGCCAAATGTGGGGTAGTGAAGGGAATGGGAGACAACAGGTGACAGACAGGTAGGTGGGGGCAGGGGAAAGGGGAGAATGTTGAACTGGTAATAGACTAGGTGGTAAAATGCAGACAGGTTACCTGGGGTTATCATATGACAGGCAGGTTATAATGTGCCATAAATCCAATGTCTATATTTAGTCCGTAATTTTTTTGTATCCAGTAGTTTTATAAAGTGAGAACTACTATATCAGTATTTGGCTACCTATAGTGAAACATGACTGGAAGGATCTTTTTAAGCTTCATGACTCTTATTGGCATATGGGGAATTGGACACCTGGCAGGTCTTTGCAAGGTTTGCAAAGTTGAAGGGTTTCTGAAGAACTTACTGGATCTTCATGTGATGTAAGGGGACTGGTAGATACCTCATGTGATGTAGGGTGGCTGGCAGATACTCTAATCCCTTACCTCCCGTGACCTTCAAATTACTAGTAATTCTAACCTCTTCCTTGGACTGCCCTCCTTTGTACTATATTTGCATTCTTTCTTTCCTGCTTACTGTAGAACACCTGTTAGGAGTCCCACTTTTTCATACAACACCTTTTCTCTTGGACTTCTGTTATCTATTGATGTCATTCTTTTCTCAATGAACACATCTAAAGAAAGTCCTGTCCTGTAAACTCTCCACATTTCAAGTTTGACCTCTCTTCCCACAGCTTTTTAAAAGATCCTCTCTAAAAACTTCAGCCTTCTCCTCCACTCATGCACATATACTAATCCAGAACATGAACATCTTTCCCATCTAATACATCCAAGCATTTTATTAGCTCTTTTCACATCTGGATCATATTGGCAGCTTATAGTCATCTTACAATGAACCATTACCCTCATGTCCTTGTCCTCCTCAATCGTTTCCAGTCTATATGTCAATATATTATAGCTGAAGTCCTTGTTAATGGCTCCTAATTTTACAATTAAAGCTGTTAAATTTCACAGCATTTCTACAACTCCATTACACAAAATTATCTAAAATTTTCCTATTAAATAATCTGATACTGTTCCATATTAACAATACCTTAAGCTTACTGTCATCTGCAGATTTCATGAGGACAACCTCCCACAGGAGATTGTAGAGACAGACAGCACAGCAGGGTTCAAAAAGGGAATAGACAAATTCACGGATGATTGGTCCATCAGGGATGTACCCCTTAACACCCTACCAAGAAGAGTATGACAGGGTAGATTACTCTAGATATATCCTGTTCATATGCCCTCCCTCTAAAGCATCAACAACTGCCTTTGCTGGAGACAGGATGCTGGACTAAATGACCATTGGTCTGACCCAGTATGGTACTTCTTATGTTCTTAGGTACTTTCAGTACCAAGCTCACTGTTAATATCTTTTAAAGGATGGGTGAAAAGACTTATCCCTGAGGAACACCACAACTGAATGTTCTCTAGTCATATCACTCACCTTTCAACATAACCTGTTGTAGTCTTCCTTTAAACAAACCCCTTATCTCTCTCACGATTGTAATAGCAATCCCCAACCTCTATGTGACAGGGGGCAAGCTTGGAGCTGAGTCTCAAGTCAGCCTGCCCACCTGTCTATGTAGGGCACTCTGCTCAGTCTCGCCTGCCATGACTTTGCTGTAACAATAAACTGGTGGTAAATAAATTGGGGCTGCCCATTACATGCCCCAGTGCCAGGGGGCACTATCTACGGCTCCATGCCTTTCCTACACTGTGGTCCATGCTTTGCAGATGACATCATAAGTTCTTAATGTCTCCAGCCCCCACAGTGGGCCCCATAACACTCTAGTCTAGACTCCAACTAGATCCCTCCGAATCAGGCACCCACACTCCCTGACCCCTTTTCCCTCTCGGATGTGCACTACCCGCCCCCCCCCACAGGACTTTTGGCCGCATAGGCCCTCGTCTCACCTCCAAGGCCAGTCAGAACCCCAGGCCCCCAGCTCTGGGCACCCCTGTTGGCCCCCTTTCTTCTACAGGTTCACCTTCTTGGGCCCCACTACAGGGTTACTCACCCGGTTGTGGGGACTGGGATTTTAAAAGAACCCCTCCTCCTCGCCTTTCATCAGGGAGGTAACTGGCCTGCCATTTCTTAGGGGCTGTCCCGCCACAAACAGCCCCACCAAGGCCACACATCCCCAGCAGGGTGCGGTTTCAGGTTATACCCAGGACCAATGGGGCCTCCTCCATCCCCATAGCCTCACCCTCACCTCCAGGACGTTCCATGCTGCAAGGGAGCCAGATGGTGCTGCTCCCTTGGCTGCAAGCAGCCAACTGCTGTCTCTGCCTGGCTGACCTTTGTTTGTAAATGGCCGCCTTAATCAGGCACCAGTCAGCTGCCTGCTTCAGCCCTTGAAATGCCACATACACCTTCTCCTGAAAAATCTGCTATTGGTCACTGTCAGGGAAAGGATATCAGACTAACTAGGCCACTTAGCTGATCCAATATAGGATTTCAGTGTTTCTGTGTAATCTTTTTGGGCACATCCAGACGTGTGGACATTTGGTTCCCCAGGGACAAGCAGCAATAGCGCAGCTTGCACCACCACTACTTGTCCCCAGGGAACGCCCATGCTACATGAGCTTTCACACATGGCAAGTTGCCCCAGATGGGGTAGGGGAGGCTGGAGCCAGCACTGGGCTGGCCCCAGCAGCCTTACCTGTGGTCCTGTGGGGGCCTTCCCAGGCCTACCATTGCAGTAATTCTGCCACACAAAGCCTGGCCAGCAGCCACAGCATGGCTCTGGGTGGTCCAGCTCCACTTTTCAGCAGAGCCTGCTGCCCAAGCGTGCATTACTCTGGGTTTATTTTCCCATGGGTTTTTTAACCCCTGGATATCCAGGGGTCAAAAAAACCTGCAGAAAAAAATGGAGCAGTGCACACACAGGCAGCATGGCCTTGCAGCATAGAGAAAACCAGACTGTGTGGTATGTGGCGCTGCAAATGTGCCACATACTGCATGACCACGCTCATTTGGATGCACCCTGAGACCACTACAGACTCTGCATTTAAATACAATATTCCCTCAGAGCCTCTCTCTGTGAATTCCATCATTTCCACATTGCCCTAGCATTCCTTTCCTGCAGAAGTAGCAAGAACGTACAAAGCTATCTGAAATACATCCAGCCCTAAATGGCTATAGCCATATTTTTGTTATTGTTAACAACATAAGGGTTTTTTTCCATCTGAAGCCAGAGAAATTGAACAAGATCTTCTGCTACTGTAAATCAATTCATCTTAATCAATCCCAATGAAATTTCAACAATTTACACAGAGGACCTAGTTTATAGTGTTTCTCAAGACCGCCAGCCTTGTACCTATAACATTTAGCAAGGGTATTATAGAACACTTCTGCAGCTGAATATCTGGGACCCGATGCAGTTGTTTGACTTATTCACAACTTCCACAAAAATCAGTGAGAGTTGAGTGTGAATATGGGGAACAAGTTTTGTCTCTTAAGTTCTTTACTCCTGGTGGTATTTCTCTCAAACACAGGCAAAATTTAATGGGAGCTCAGAATGAAGGCTGAACATGTACTAGATTTAGGTTCAAAATCTTTTCCCATTGTCATCTTGAGTTTTGGCCTGACTAGATAAAACAATCAACTCTTTGGCATCCAATCTTGCAGAAGTTCACATTTTCTGAAACGTTCTTCTGTTACATTTTCCAGATCTACTTCTACTCCTTTGAGGTGTTCCATACAGCTGGGTTTGATCAAGAACACATCCCCTACATATCTCTGGGACTTGGGACCTGTGAGTTCTTCTCCTCCATATTGTGTGTAAGTTGCACTGGATCAAGAATTGGGGGATCTGTAGAATGTCCACAACCAGGGTGGTAGACACGTCTATCGCTGTAAAAGCAGTCATTTTTGGGTGTGTCTACACATGAAATTAATGTGCATGAATAAACTCCAGAGCTTATGGCTTCAGAGTTTATTCATGCCTAGCACATGGAGCCTGATCAGAGCAGCCGTGGCTAGCAGGGGACCCAGGTCAACATGCCAACTCAGGGATGCTCTGATGGGGCTCCACATGCTGCTGAGAGATTGGATGAGGCACAAGGATGCTTCCGTGCAGGGCTAGCCAGTAGGCAGCCCCCATGATGAAGCACCCTTATGCCCCAGTTAGTTCCTCCGCAGCACATGGAGTCCCATCGGAGCAGCCCTGGGCTGGCTGTTCCAATGGGGCTCCTCGTGCTGCAGAGCAGATAGCTGGGGCAGGAGGGGGCTTCAGCACAGGGTCTGCCTGCTGGCTAGCCCCATGCTGAAGCACTCTGTGCCCCAGCTAGGTGGGGAAGCATCTACACATGTGCTGCTGCACATTAAAAAACTCCACAGCAAGTTTTACAAGTATTTACAAGTCCTAACCTGTTGTGGAGTTTATTAGTTTCATACACCCTAATAGAGGTACATCCATAAATGCAGAGACGTTTACTGCTCAGTTAATTAGTCAACTGCTGAATAAACATCACATGTAGACACACCCAATGTGAAGTAGCAGACTCCTCATCTGTTTTGACTTTGTTGGGTAGTCGACTGTAGAAAAGATATCAGCATTTGTATCACCAAGTGATCTCAGCTGCCCCAAAACAAGTCTCAGTGACATGATGGTATCAACACAAACAGACACAGCAGTGCCTTGCTTATACCAGAGCTCCCACCTTCCTCCTACTGAAGGACCTATAGTGGTGGGACATTTTAATTAAGCACACCTCTGGCAAAGAAGCTGCATCTCACCTAGCAATAACCAAACTTATTGCAACACCTACAGGCAGGAAGCCCAGAAACCTTGGCAAGCAGAAGAACTCCAGCATTCACTACATGCTAAGCCAAATGTTGATTTAGGCCCTTGATCAAAAAAAATTGAAATGGGAAAGAGCTAGAGCTCTTGACTCCTCTTAACCTCAGGACCTGCTCCTTTACATACTTAAATCATCCCATTAGTCTTACAAAAAAGTACTGAGAGAGAGAAAAAGATCACTCAATGGAATTTGCCTTTATAGATGTGATAGGGAGGAATCCATGCAGCAGTAAGCACAGAATAGTCTCATCATATCTAATCCACAAAACTGACATCTCCCTTCATTTGGGAAGCACAACAGCTGTCAGTTCCATTCTCAAAGAGACTGGAATTCATGAAAGATAGAAAAGAGCACAAGAACACATGTTGAGCACAAGAAAGCTGCTGCACAACAAGACTTCTATCACCCTTCTTCATACAGTCATCAAGTATAAAGCCAAAAGGGACCCTTATGACCTTGGCATAAGACATGCCATAAGACTTCCCAAAGTAATTCTTATTTAAACTACAGCACTATGACAGATTTTTCATAGAAAAATGTTCTAATCAACTAGTTATCATCAGCTGGACTGGGTTTACAATCATTGGATTAAGTTTTAAATAAACAGTTGTATTCAGCTCCAGCCAAGGTGGTTTACAAACCTATGATATGATCCTGGTGCTTGACTATCACTTTTGCATTTTGTGTTCTTCAGGCCTTCATCATTGAGCAGTCTGGAAGAAGGATGTTTCTGTTGTGGGGATATGGACTAATGATTTTGGTCTTGGCACTCCTCACAACATCTCTCACTCTGCAGGTACAGAAACGCTCGTTTTCTGTGTGTCTTTTGTCAATGACCTCTCCAGCTAGAACTCTTGTCTTTACGAAAAACCACTCATTATACAACCAGTTTTGTTATTTTTAAAATGTTCCATCTCTGATGAATCTTGAGGAATTTCTCCCAACAGCAGAAGGAAGTTTCTTCAGCCCTAGAGTCTTTAAGATTATTCAAATCATGATGGAAAGAAACAAGTACACTAACCTATTTTAATATATTAAGAGATGCTGTCTGTGCTTTCCTTAGCCATGTACAGGCATTTGGTTTTGACCAGAAGAAATGCCACTTTCCTGGTAGAAGCTATGTGCATACAAGTATCTGTTCAACTTCTCCCATGGGAAGCATGCCTGATTTTGGAGTAAAATCTTCCTTGTTCAGTGAGGAAGATCTTGCTTTGCCTGCATGAGAGATTCTCAAACAGGAATGCTTCTCGCACCTGTACACTTCCCCACTACTCCACTTCTCTGAAACTAAGAGGAGTCACTCAGCAGTAAAATGCTCCCTGCACCTTTCAAAGACTGCGGTCACCCTAATCCGGAGAAAACTCAGAGAGTACCAATAACTCAACTCCATCCAGGACCAGGAGGACTCGGGCAGCTGAGGAATGCTCCATGCGTGTCCCCCAGAATGAGGACACCCCAGCTTGGGGAATGCACAGGGAGTGCAGTCTCTCTGCTCTGTCTCCTCCTGGAGACCAGGAAGGGAAGGGAAGAGCAGCCACTGTTCCCTACATGTCCCCTAGATTGGGGTCACCCCAGCCTGAGGAAAGTACAGGGTGTCTTTCCTCTCTGCTCCACTCCTCCCCTTCTGGAGAACAGGAGAAATGGAGCAGGCACTATTCCACATGCCCTCCCCATACCAGGATCACCCCACTCCACTGGTGTCTGGGAAAGCCTGGAGAGCAGCAGAGAAGGGATGGCTCCCAAAAAGATTTCTAGCACTGGAAATTTCCCAGAAATCTCCAGTGCTAGAAATTAGCACCTGTTCACACCCTTGTCTTTCCTTTTAGCATCAGTTCTTCTGGATGCCCTACCGCAGCGTCATTCTGATCTTCTTATTCATTATCTTCTTCGGAAATGGACCAGGTTGGTTCATAAATTTGAGGAGAGAAGGAAAACAATTTATGTGAACACATCCTCAGGAAAAAAAGTGGGATTAGAAAGGGAATGCAGGACATCTAAATTAACTAAGGTGGAGGAACTATACTGATAACTGGGGAAAAATAAGTTTGATATAGTATGAATTTAAAATTTAGTACATATTTATTCTGGATATAGTCACTTCTCCTGATAGCCCTCCAGAGTTGTGGGTTTGAACAACACATAATCTAACTATTATGTATAGAATAAGGAAATCCTTTCAATGCGAGAATTTCTTGAAAACTAATTCCACAATCTATACGCTTTTATGCCACAGCATCCAATCTCAATGAAAATCAGACACGACATATAAAAGGCTTTTTTTTAAGTCTTTTATTTACTTCAGTAAGATGCACAGAAATGAGCTTCTTTCTTTCTGTTATACTATGCAACTTTGAACAAAAAAAGCTGGGTTGAACAAAAAAGTCCGCTGTAAACCAGCAGGAAAGCCACCAATTTAGAATTACCCCACTGTAAACATGGTATGAAATCTGAATTTGATCTGCTGTTCATAATCTGGTTACTGCACTCAATTCAAAATAGGTTGTAAGTTAAAAGGCATTTAATTATTAAGTAGTATTCTGAGAACCTTTTCTTTTTCAGCTGGAGTTACATTCCCAGTTATATCTGAACTCTTCACCCAGTCATCCAGATTACCTGCATTAATGATCTCCATGTCTCTCCACTGGGCAGGATTCTGCTTAATTGGGATGCTTTTCCCATTTGTAGTGGTAAGAGACTCTAAATGGAGCTCACTTGGTGGGGGGTTGATTAAAACATGAAGGGTATTTCTGTGCCAAAGAAATGGCACTGTAACATACCAGCAAGCTAGGAGGTTTGATTCTGGAACAGCCGTAACACCTTTGCTTCTGGCCGCAGCCAAACATGCCTTTTTGCAGATACAGGGCACTTGGACCTGAGCTGAACATGTAAGCTTGCTCTATGCATCCAGTGCCTTATCTTGTTCTATAGATCAGTATTTCAAATTAAAATGTCTTCTTTTAAAAATCCCAAGCTAAAACACCTGAAATTAAAGCAGGAAAAGAATTTGCTTATACTGTCTTTTGCTTTGCTTTTCAGAAGAACCTTGGTACCTTCTGTTTCCTTGTTTTTATGGGATTCATTTCTGTTTCATGGATTTCCATCTACCGGTTTCTCCCAGAAACAAAGAACAAATCAATAATGGAAATCAAAGCTGAATTTCGTCATTTAAATTTTGGAAAGGAGTGTGCCCAGGTCACTGAAAACAATCCTCCTGAGGCGTTTACTGCTTGCACTAACCTCTGATGTGGACAGAAGGGACAGGAAGTGATGTCACATTCAGATGACTACAAATCTATGAAGTGTCAGCTTTAATGCATGTTACTGCTGTACTCCATATTCATTTTATGCAAATGGTCTTCATAGGAGATCATCCCCTGCTATTCAGTAATACAAAAGTCCTTGTCAGTATCTCATCGGCACCACAGTTGCCCAGTCACATACATTTCAATTTAAGGTTCTACTTTACAAAAGCCAAACTGATGTATACATACTTCTAAAGTCATTCAAACTTTAACTCTGCCCATGTAATCCCATCCTACGGACAAGTAGGACAATTTTGAATGCAATATGTATATACACACATATTTTAAATAATCAGTAAGTTGATTACCTGAAGTAGTTAGTCTCAGTCATTTTGCTTTATGTCTACATTAGCAGTGGACACAAATCCAAAATGGATAACCTCCTAAACCATTCCAAAACTAGAGCAATGTTATGTTAAAACTACTAGATTATCACTTAGGTTTGTATTTCTAGTTTGTAAGCCACTGTGAACAAATTTAGGATTGCAAACCACCTTGGCTGGAGCTGAACACAACTGTTTATTTAAAACTTAATCAAATGGTTGTAAACCCTT